AGTTTTATAACGACTACTTATTTTTCGTATTATCACATCCTGACAATCAGGTCAGTGTTACATTTTTCATACAAAATTGATTCATTTAAATAAACAGAGGTGTTAACACAATGATTGCCATACAATAAGCTTATTTTTGCATTAAACTGCAAAATATAAAAATATGTCAAGTATGTCTTTGTTGTATGATATTTTGTGAAAAGGTAATCGTATAATAAAACAGTCTATCCGGTGACTTATATACCCTGAAGATTAAACCTATAAAATGCTACAAAAATGGTGCATAAGTGAAGAATTTGTGACAAAATAAATGTATTGTAGTGAAACATAATATAATGAATGGCTAGCCTTTATGATAACTTTTTTAAACATAGAGCTAATGTAAACTCGGTCACTGGCACTCAACGTTGCATCGTATCAAAACCGATTTGTCTAGTTTTTTTGGTTTTTTTTGTAAAACCAGTTCTAGCGAGATTTTCTACGTGGCAATTTCAAACGTGTAGTACCTTGGTCATAGTAATATGTTCTTTTTAGCATGTTCGGAAATGTTCCGTGAATGAATTTAAAGTTTTACGTTGTAATAAACTTTAACGTGCATGCCACGGAAACACGTTTCCTCGTCTTTCCACATACAAAAATGATATAAATAAAATATGATGGAAAATGCAAGAAAAATTATCTGACATATGTTTGCGGTTCGGATCGGAATATCCATCCCTCGGGATCCACTAATGGATATTCCGATCCGAACCGTAACGCTGGATAGATATTATCAATATTGAAATCATAAATGTTTATTGCGATTTTTTTTCTCGAATCCGTAGCCATGTAACACGTGTTTAAACCACTGATGAAATGCTAAATGAAAACACGGATTTATATTACAATGAAAAAACAATATAAATCCGTGATGAAAACAAGCAAAGTAAGATAATTAATCTAATAATCCATTCGCGCCAAATTGACATCAGGGTCCGTTATACGTATTAATCTATCGATGTACATAATATCTTTACTGGGCAGTCGCTTAGGCTTAAAAAATATCTTGGAAGTTTATGCAGTCGGCAAAGGATATTCAGGCTCGACATTCGTTTCTGATCACCTTTTTAGCTCGACTATACGAAGTACATGTATATGAAGAGCTGTCCTACTCGCCCGGGCGTCGGCGTCAGCGTTAAAGTTTTGGAGCAGTAAAATAATTTTCACTATAACTTTTTCATTTCTTTAGGTATCAACTTCAAACAAATTATGTTCCTTATCTTCAACCACATCATATGTGACAAGGTTCATAACTCTAGCACCAATATTTTTAGATTTATCTCCCCTTTAACTTAGAATTTTCCTTTAAAAATACTATTTTTTATTGTTACTTATTTATTTCTTAAGGGATCAACTTCACACTTCAAATATATATTCCTTATCATTAACCACATGTTATGTGACAAGGTTCATAACTCTAGCACCAACATTGCAAGAATTATCTCCCCATAATCTTAGATTTTTTTTCTTGAAAAATAGTAGTTTTTACTACAGTATAACTTCTTTAATATTAAAGGTATCTACCTCAAACTTCAAATGCTTATTCCTTATCATCAATTACATCTATGTGATAAGGTTCATAACTCTTGAAGCAATATTTTCTTTGAACTAAGATATTTTCTTCAAGAAATATTAAAACTTCTTTACTTTTTAAGGTATCTACTTCAAACTTCAAATATATATTTCTTATCATTACACACATGTTTTGTGACAAGGTTCATAACTCTAGCATGACTATTTCCAGAATCATCCCCCTTGAACTTTGAATTTATGTTAACAAATGCTATTTTTTACTATAACTTAATACATTATTATACATAATTGATTTTTCTTTCATAGTGCTTTCTTCTTTACTGCGTCCAGTATTTTATTAGTCGAGCTACGCAGTCACCTGTGACAGCTCTTGTTGAATGTCGAGCTTAGATATGAATCTTGCACGACATTTAGCACAACATTCAGCTCGACATTAGTTTTTGTCTCCTTTTTGAATGTCGAGCTTGGATAAGAAGAATACTCAACACTTAGCACCACATTCAGCATTGCCGAACTTAGATGAGAAGCTGACTTGACATTCAGCTCAATATTCAGCCCGACATTAGTTTGTTTGTTTGTTTTTTTTGTTGTTGTTGTTTTTTTTGTTGTTTTTTTATTTTTTGTTGGTTTTTTTCTTGTTGTTGTTGTTGTTGTTGTTTTTCCTTATTAAATGTACAGCTGTGATGTCAAGCTGGCTCGACATTTAGCACACAATTCAGCTTCACATTGCTGAATATTGTGCTTAATGTCGAGTCAGCATCTGATTCGAACTCAAAATTCTAAAAGGGGACAAAAACGACTGTCGAGCTGCTGAAAGTTGCCAGCTTCACATTCCGACTCGATACTCAAAAAGAGACAGAAAACAAATGTCGAGCTGAATCTTGTGCTGTATATTGCAGCTCGACCATTAAAAAGAATAGATAAACAAATGTCGAGCTGAATGTCTAGCCAGTTTCACATCCCATCTCGACATTAATAAATCGAATGTCGAGCCGAATGTTAATGGTCGATCTCTGTGCCAACTCCACACACATATCTGAGACAAAGCTAGGTTATGTACAAGATTTATGTTTGTTTGTTTCAATGATCGCTTTTCTAATAGAAACGTTTCTATCATAATTTGACTTATTTTTTTTTTTGAAAGCTGATTTAACTGCACGAAATTCACGTTTCGTGTGTAAACCATGCATTTATTACTATACACATTTACTTGGCAGGCAAAAATGTAATAAATATCTTATACAAAATTATTATCATAATCACACAATAAAATCACGCAGTCAATGAACTTATTGAAAATGATATGTGATTATACATGACACGTGATAGAAATTAACAAAAAAAGTGAACAGATACATATATGTATAATCTCTCAGACAACTAAAAAATTGTATTTATAGCTCGTTGAGATGACATTTACATGTATTGAACTTTTGAACTGTATAGGCCCTGTGTCATCTTAAATGCTCGCACGATTAGATTTCTAAATTGCTGACAACTAAAAGCTTTAACATTGTCATTGTACAGATGTTAATTTAAAGAACAGAACAGAACAGAAATTTTATTTCGTAACGTATACAATACAGTATCTTGTTACATTACACATATCAAATATCATAAATAGATAAACACATGATATAATTCAAAGATTAACAGTATATTGGAGAATGAACATATATTGATTGTATAAAATAAATCTATATCAAAATAATCTCATTTTTTAATATCAGACTAATCTCATTTTCATATATAAACATGATTATCAAATTCTAGTAGAGCTTTGTTTTATAGAAATATTTCTTTCTTTAGGTACCAACCATATTCTTGATTGTTTTACTGCAAATAAATTTGTTCAGTCATTAACACGTCTGAGAGTGTCCTCTCAGAGACTACAAGTAGAAGCTGGTAAGTGGGCAAAAACAACCAGAACACCTTTAAACGATAGAAAATGTTCAATATGCAATACTCTTGAAGACGAATACCATTTTGTTATTGAATGCTCATTATATACAGAATTAAGAAACACTTACATTCACAAGAAGTTTTGGAACAGACCAAATATGTATAAATTTATAGAATTATTAAATTCAGAAAATAAAAAAGTGATAAGAAACCTAGGAATATTTGTTGAAAAAGCTTTTAAACTAAGAAATTCTATCATTTAATTATTTGTTAGAGTTATAATTATTTTTTGTTAATACCGTTAGTTGAAACAATCTCATGTAGTCATTAATATAAGTTAGTGTCTAAGTATACTGTTACGTAAATTGTCTTTTTTTCTATAAACTATGCATACTATATTAATTTAAGTGATATATATGCTTTCAAAAGATGAATATATTCTAGGGTTACTTTTGATACTTTATAAATTTTCTTTTGTCTCTATGGCGAAAGAGCTATGACACATGAATAATGTTAATAATACATTGTGTAGTATGCATATTTATTTCATTGTATGCGATGTGCTCATTTTGTTGAAATATCGCATCTTAGATAAACGTATATATGTAAAACGAACATATGAATGGCAATAAGTCATTTTGAACATGATTGTTAATTTATAACATATTATCAGTCTTGCAATTTCTTTTCGGTAAGGCCGATATATTTATGTTATAACCAGTACAAACGAATTAAATATGCATCCATTATTTTCTATGTTTCTTGTCTTAGAATGTGGCAAGAGTCGTGGATATATTCAGTACATGTATGTATATAACCTATTATTTGATGAATGTATATAATTTCACATAGGTTTAATACTTTAAACAATTATCAAATATATATGTTTCGGATTACATTTATATCAAATGATAACTATACATATATATGTAAGTTAAACACAACATTAATGTATTTATACTTGAAGAGTTTGTCGTTATGATCTTCTCCGATATTATCATCATGCTATGTTATGTATTTCATATGTATATACACTGTTCCTTGTCTAGTATTATGCTGTTATCATGTCATCGTGGGCTTTTAAGCCTAATATGATTGAAATAAAACTATCTATCTATCTATAAACAATACTAGCGAAATCTAAAGCATTGTATGTCCTGTGCTATTTCCATATCCTTTTACTGTCCTGTTAAAGTTTAACTTCTGGTCTGACTTGGTGTGGGACAAACCGTAGAAATAATGAGAGACGGTTAGACCAGACTATTTTATCTTCAGTATGTGTGTTGACTGAAATATGGCCCAACAAAGTCCACAAATGTTACTATTTTCTGAAGCTGTAAAATTTCTTTACAATTACCCTTTGTCATATCGGGTAAAATGTAGCAAGGTTTCTTTATGAATTAATCACAAAAACTTTTATGTGTGATCATGCTTTCAAGTCATGGTGTTGGTATATGTTCACTTGTGATAAATTAAAACCCAAACAACTTCGTCACGCCTGACAAAATCGCAAAGGCGCACAATCACCATTAGACCGTTACTTGTATTTAAATACTCGGATATTAGCGGTTTTCTGCATTATGCTGTCGATAAACCAATTCGATAAAGAAAAAATTGAAAAATGGGATTAAAAAAAGAGGTAAGTTTATTTGACATTATCTTTTTAATTGCACAGTACGCGGAATTAATGCGTTTAACATTATTTCCTTTAGATTAATGGTACGCCATACCTTTGGGGGTTTTTGTTGTTGTTGTTTTTTTTTGTTTTTTTTGCCACATTTAGATTTCTCCAGTGATATCCGTAATATAAAACATGCATGTTTACCGCATATAGTATATTTAAACGTAATAGAAAAAAACAACTCTTCATCACTTGATGGGGATTTTTATTATAAATTTTAAGCGCGTCGTTCGATTATTATATTCTCTTGTGAATAGTTTATTCTACATTTACCAAAATTTGAATGTCATACTATAAGGTTTGTCTTAAAAATAACGAGACCACCAATAACAGTCACGACCCGGGACTTCATATGCATGAAAATACCGAACATTTATAAAAAAAAGAAAAGAAGAGATTTTTTTGGTAAGGGAAATATTGTTAAAAAAAACTTTTGTAGTAGATTTTTTTAACAGAAGAGAGCACTTGCTTTAATTTATTTGGAATGACACAGATTACAATATACAAGTATAATGTTATAACATGTGAACAAATTCAGTATTGTCAACAAAATCATGACGACGACGGGCGACATATACAATTAACAAGATTTGACCAATTATACCCGTACACATGCTGTCCTAAGCTTATAAAAAAAATAAAAATAAAAAAAAGATCGAGACATGGCGGATGCGGATGCATCTGCCATGTTTCCGTCGGGTCACTAACATTATTATAAAAAATATCTTGATGTACAAGCTCTACAATAAATGGAATCTTATCTTAAAATAACAAGTATTAGCCCTTTTGTTCTGGAAGGAGGCTTTATCACGTAAAAAATCTTAAGAATACGCGACTGAGCGGCGATTCCTAGCATCTTTTTAAATGTAATCACTGTGAAATACTTTAATGCGATCAGGTCAACTCGCCAAGTGGTCAACTCGTCACCTATTTGGTCAACTCGTCCTCAGCAAATCAACTTGTCACTTGTATTATGTACAACAATAAATCTTTCTGGTGTGTCCTGTGGATATTGCAGTAAAAAGGTTTAAGCAGAATATTTCGCGCGCAAATATAGTTTTCTTAGTGAAAAGTTATTATACAGTATAGCTTGGGATTCAGGCGTTGATCATTTTTCTTATTCATACTAGTTCGTGTTTTTGATATTATCAGCGTATCAATGTCGATTTGCCGAACAGAAGCACTTAAAAAATCGACAGACTGGAACCCAGGCTAGTAATACAGCCTCATGATTTGATTGTATAACAAAATCATGATTGTTTGATATCTTTCGGTATTTTTGTTTGTGTCTTTTGTATATCGACAAAACGTTATTTGTAAATCATTGCTAAATTACTTCTTATGAAATTCTTTGTTTAAATTCATATACATAATGGTAGAATTGAATGGACTCAAAAATATTTAAGTTAGTACGAGTTGATTCTTTAAACATTACGTTAACTAAATAACATAAAACATAAATTGAGCAACATTGAGATATATGCATTCCTGAAGAAAAAAGACCCTGACAATTTTAGTTAAAGAAAAATGTGGCTGGTGAGTTTCGGACCCTTTTGCACGAGAGCCCTTCATAACTGCATTAAATTGAATATAAAACGTATATAGGTAGTCTATAAATGCAACCTATCATCATCTTATCCAAATGATATATAACTTCCAACATATTCACATGACATTATAATAGAATAGCATATGCTTTATGTATATCTTAAAACCGACATAATCTTTGTAAGCTTTAGTGTAAAAAGTATAATAGTGTCACAGATTCAAAAGGGCTGTAAAATAGGGAAGAAGTTCTGCAATAAGAATTTATTTGTTAAAGTATATATTGTTATTGTTTAGAAAGTATTTCTTCATGTGTACACAATTCAGAAATAACCTACGCGAGTTAAACCAGGTTTACCTCGACCAAATAACTATTTCAATATTTTATAGATATTATATTTGCACGTAAAACAAGTACATGTATAACAATTTTCTTATTTGTATCCGTAAATTACTACAGCAAACATTTGCATACACATCTGCAGGTACGTTGTATTTGATTGAAATATGCACGTAAACATCACGCCAATTAATGATATAATAAAATGTGTATTGACGCAATTTCAGATTTAAAAGATTGTGACATTTTAAGGTTTACTTAACAATCCTAAATATTAAAATGAAATATGTTATTAAGAGTAGTATATATATATATATCATTTTGATCTAAACTGTGCATCGCTGTTTAACTGACATTCATACACGTATATATTAGATAAAATTAATTATAATGACGAAAATCATCTTGCTTTGTTGATGCATAAAGTATACCCTTCACTCTATATGCAACGTCTACAGTAAAGTCGGTGTTTTGTTATTATTATTGTTGTTGTTTGTCTGTACGCGTGATAATAATTCTCATGAGCAACATTATTGTAAGAAAAAGGGTTAAAGGCACCAGCTATTTGACTGTAATGTTTTTTCATCACAATTCAGAAAAAAACACTATTAAAACTACCAACGTGACTGGAACAAAATGGTCTTAATTGCGGGGTGGTCTCAATTTTGGATATTCTTTATCACAGCTTTTATATTTCATGACCATGGTCTACTTTGGTCATTTTTATGAACAAACAATGTATCTTATCCTTCAAATACGCTACAAAATTATTTTATAATATTTAATCTATGAGCAAACATATTTCTGCAGAAATTAATTCTCATTGGTCTGCTTCCAGTATTATATGATGTTTATAATTCATCTGTCAAATAAGAAATTAATCCTTTACAAAATTAATTTGCAGAAAACAACTTTTAACCACTCTAAAATTTATTTTCTCAAATTATTTTATACAATAACCTTAAAAATTGGTCTTAACAGCGGGGTGGTCTTTAGGGTTTACTCTGTATTCTTCTCAGTTTCTAACCTCAATGGTTTGACATGATTGACACGTTGTGACTCTAATAGGTGTCAAGATAAATAGTCATTGGTAATTGGAAGATAATAGATATTCCATTACCAGTATAATAATCCTTCACACCCTTTTCAATTTCTGGATTTTGGAAGTAAATTTGAATTCTTATAACCCAAATTTTACCAGAAAATCGTTCTAAATTCAGTTTTTAAAAGCTCCGAGATTCAGAGGTATGAATTACGCAGAAAACATTAGGAGAAATTTCGAGACGCATTTCATAAGTTTCCGGTTGTTAGAAGTGTTACACTAGTCTACAAATACTTAGATGCGGTGAGAAACATGGTCGTAACTGAAGATCACCTTGTCAACAATAATTTTCCCTGATCATTAACCAAAGAACACGTTCACCTTTATTCCTAAGGTTTTATTGGGTTATTAGTCATGCCTTGTAGACGATGATAACTTTAAATTTTAATTGCAGTTGTTATAAGGCAAATGTCACCATTTCTATAGCAACTAAATCTGATAAACAAAAAAAAGATTTTCCTATCAATAAGTAGGGAAGTCATTGAAAAAAAACAGTCATCGGATGGGATGATTGATTACGGCATGTAGATGATCACATAGACACTTGAAGGTCTGACCAAGTCAGACAGTTATTTTGTCCATGTCAACTGTCTATAAAAATACTTTAATATAATAAAAATTTCCAGACGAATAAAGAAATTCTAGTTATCATCAACTCTCAATAAAGTAAAGATTGCAGACTCCCAAACATTCTTGTCCAACCAATACAATGTACGAGAACGGTTCCCGGCTTTACGTTTGGAACACTCGGTTTCTATAGTGTATTCTTTGAGCTGGATTGATCATTAAGCAATTGGTTTTTCGCGTTTATCATTTATTATTAAGCAATTGGCTTTTAAGCATGAAAGATCGGCTTGATGTAATATTCTGCTTGAATTTTGTTTAACTGCAAAATGGTTCAAACAATTAGAACTGGAATTTGCATTAGATTTTTGTTTGACTATTTCGCTATAAAATGAGCACAAAAACTGTATTGATTTATAAACAGGTTATGTTTAACTAAATTACAGGCACAATTGATATAAGTGATGTGTAAAAATTAAATGTTCTTCACTGAATAACATGTGTTTTGTTGGTACAGGAGCTGTACTATGTGTCATCTTTAAGGGTGGATCTTATTGTGTGTATTTTAATTTATTCTAAAGCTTCATTCACTGGAAAAAGATATCCACATAAAACAGATACTGTAAGGCTAAATATTTTACGTAAAATACTTTACACGAGCGAATAAGGCTAGCGGGTCATGGGAGAAGGTGCATATTTATTATTTTCTACATTCAAATTTTCCTTACCTCTATTTGCATTAACTTTATTCATGATTATTTCCGCCGTATTACGCTGACATAAGATTCTTTCACAAAAGTTATGTGTTGCTCGAATAACATTGAATAAACCAAGTGATGTCTGACTCAAGGTGACTGAGTTTAACTTGTCATAGGCGTCACATCCGCGTTTTTTATTCGCATTATTTGAGATCTAAATTTACAATTGAGTTATTATCCAATCTAACAGAACCATACACACATTGAAAGACTTAAAGAAAAAATAGTTAACGTTTGTTGAGATTAGAAAAAGGCGGTTGTTCATGTTACATATTTAGTATTATATTAATTATATCTGTTAAAGGATGTGTACATTTTTTACAGACGATTGTTCACATCAAAGTAGGTGATAAATGTATACCCGTTTCTTAGGCATTTGCTAGCAAATGGCTCATTTTGTTGTGTCCCCTCACTACCCAGAGATTTAAACACTACAAAAATTCTGTGCTACATATTAACAACATATGATCAGTACAAGAATGACGAGTGACGTTCTTATTATTTCTTTTTATTCCAGGGTGTTAATGGTTTGGATAATCCAGCGTTTAAAAAAGATTCTGAGGTATGTAAATGTACCTGTTTTTTGTTTAAATGTTTATAACCTTTCTTAAATATAAGTACATGTACATTCATTTAAATGATTGATACAGAAAGTTTAATAAAGGCCATTATAGTTTGAGATGAGATATAGCAAAAATTGCATTAGTCTGATAATCTGAAAAGTTGCATAGCTCAACTTGATTGTCTAAAATTTATTTACCACGTGCCCACCGTGCGAGGACTGACATTATCGAAAGTATGTTGCAATCTTTCTTATTAAGCGCACATGAAATTTTTCGTATTAATTAACATTCTGTAATATACATGCATTAAGTCCAAACAAAAAATGTAGTTCCTTTTGGAATGGTAATGCATTTGGTCATTGATACCTTGAATGTTGGATGTGCGTGCAGTTGTGCATGTGCGCGCATGCGTGAGCACTGAACAGAACTTTTATTAGTACATTGTCATATATACAACATAGTTTTCAAGTACATGTACGTGGGGTTTTTTTTGGGGGTTTTTTATCAGTAAAATGAATAAAATGTAAAATTTACATAATGAAAATCATTATTACTTACATTTGTCCAAAAAGTTACTACATGTAGTTGCCTGTCTGGCTTACTACTAAACTAGTAGTAAAGTGACTTATAGGTCCAATGGGCCGGGTGTTTTTGTATGTATTCTTATTATGTATGTGAAATGATAAATGCACAATGTCACTATAATAAACTATTTACTTACTTTAAATTTACTTACTTACTACTAAACTAAGAGTTTTATTTCACATGAACAAACACGTACATGCATAATATATTGTTCAAGCTTGTTGTGCAATATCATAATTTTTAAATCTGAGGATATAGTACTTCCCGCCATCATTGTGTTACAAGTTTCTTATAAGTGATTTATAAACAGGTTAGAAGAAATTGACATACAAGGGAGCTTACATAAATGCATGTTTATTTTAAATTAACTTCAGGACAGAATTTCGATACTTGTCGAAGAAGACATATGGGCATTGCCAGAGCTTAGTGTAGATTACAAACCATGGAATGGTAAGAAGTGAACATTTTAAAAATGTTAGGCATGTAAGACAATATATTGTTTCTAAAAAAAGCCAGATTCTATTATATAGTGCGTGTCTTATTGTCAATAAAAATTACGTTTCTAAAATGTTTTCAAGAGTTATAAGAGTTATAATGAATTTAAAATCGTAAATTATTCATTTACTGCTGAATAAACGATGAACCCTCAAACATTTAACTTCGGTTACATTTTCAAACAGCAATGAAAGAAAGCACGGATAGTCAAGACTTCTATTGTTTTTGGCAAAGTTAATTAAGGGCGGCGATCATGGCAATTAGATTTGGTTTAAACATATTTATTTAAGCTCGATTGCGAAACAAGTTCTTGCAACTTATATTAATCACTTTCGAGTCCTCTTCCTGGAACCAACCAGTACTGGTGTCATATGGAGAAACATGGTCTTGACCCGAGTAGGGCTCGAACCCATGATCTCTGGGTTGAAAGGCAGACACCTTAACCACTAGGCCACCGCTCCCCAACTAGTTTTGGTCTTTCATCTCTACAGAGTTCATTTTTCAAACGTTTTGCTTTGATTCAACCCAGCGTTGCTGAACTATAACATGATACTGGCTTAAATTTTCAACAAACAGTACAAATATTCAACCAATGTAAAATATACACTAGAACATTGTGTTGTTTTATTTTCAGAATTAACATGCGGCGAGAAGTTACAAAGGTTGTTTCTACACTACATTCTAAAGATTGTCATTCTGCTAGGGGCGTTATACATCTTCATATGTTCTCTCAGTTTTCTCGGTGATGCTTTCAAGCTTCTTGGAGGTAAAGTGTTTTTTCCAAGCGTTTTATTTAGAGTGTAAATAATCGGGTCATCAAAACAAATGACCTATAAATATACATACAAATGTTTTTCTTTACGATTGAGCGTGTTTTGTTTTCCAAAAATATGAATCCAAAGTTTGTTACAGCACGAAAATTCAGAGCAAATGCAAAAGCTGGCTTATCAAAATCAAATCTTTTTTACTCTTTGCATTCATATTTCAAGTACATGTTGAATAGATAACTTGTCAGTAATTAATGTATTTGTTTGTCCTGTTCATTCCTAATTCATATTGATCTACATTATAACAGGTAAGGCCGCAGGAAAGGCCTTTTCGGAGAATGAGATCTTGTCGAACCCTGTGGCAGGTTTGATGATAGGTGTACTGGCCACGGTATTGTTACAAAGCTCGAGTACTACCACGTCTATAGTTGTCAGTATGGTTGGGTCAGGAGAATGTAAGTTATGATCTTAAAGTCTCTTTGAACTAAACCATTCAAAATGTTAAAGGCCCATTGTGCGTAAGAAATATTTTTTGGAAAGGTTTTTATTTTTGTTGTCCTTTTATTAAAAAAAATACTCATTGGCCAATTATCGTTACATTCTTTTGCCTCTGTGACTTACTGTCAAGGAGCTCATTAATATTTAGTATTTTATTGAAGTCAAATACTTTGTCAACATTTTACCAACATTTCAACGTTACTTTCTTCAAATTATATTATTTACAATTAAAATGCTTTAAAAACATCACTTACACGTTATTAAACTCATATTGACCTTTTTTGAAAAAGGAGAGATTTATTCGTTTCTGATGCATGTGTTTAAATTTAGGGCACACCTGACGTTTAATAAGAAACCATTCATTTCAGCTTTACTCACAAAATGTTTATTAATTGTGTTTCTAATTGACTGTCAAATTTCACTTTTTTAAGTGTAATAACAAAGTGTTGGCAAAATATTTCACTACCTTTAACTTATTTTATTTTATATATCTATGCCATACGATTAACATGAAAAAATGGGAGGGATTCTAAATAGCCAGAACGAAACTTTTTTGCAAAATGTACATGTTGCCCTATAACCCTTGTAATGATCGTTTGAATTTCTTAAACATGCACGTATTTAGAATTGATTCAAAATGTCAAAAATCTCAATGCCAATATTTATTTCAAGCTTTTCCAATATAATACTAGTTTTATATTTATATTTTATTTGTTTTTAGTATTGACGGTAAAACAAGCTATTCCGATCGTCATGGGAGCTAATATTGGCACATCTGTAACCAATACCATCGTCTCCATTGGTCAGATCACCAATAAGGACGATTTCCGGCGGGCATTTGCCGGTGCTACGGTCCACGATGCTTTCAACTGGCTGACGGTTCTAGTTCTTCTGCCAATAGAAGTAATTACAGGTGCGTGCTTTTAAATTATTAAGAAACAATATATTTCCGTCTGTAAGATAGGTCTGTAAGATAGCCGATATTTAATTATTATTATTGCATAATACTTATCAAAATGAACTAACTTAAATAAATAGTTTCATTTTGCACTTTTTTCTCATAGTAGGCACGAGTTTAAAACTTCAATTATAACGGCCAAAATTAAAGACGTCATTTTAAAGGCACAAGTTATGTTAAGCTTTGACAAATAATGTTCAATTTCAAGTTCATTGTTGCTTCTTGAATTAAGTAGGACTGTACAAACTATATTATTTGTATAAATTATGTACGACATTGTTTCAGGTTATTTGGAGGCACTGAGTGGTGCAATAATTGACAGTATCCCACAATTTAACGAGGATATGAAAGACTTGAATAGAGATTACCTTAAAGTTATCACAAATCCTTTAACTAAGCTTGTCATTCAGGTAAGATACCTTTAAAGTACTACTGGTTCATCAATGATAAAGGTTGTACTGTTAACTAAAGCTGCAACAAGTTAACTGCTGTATGTATGGAAGTAGTTTTGTCTTCAAATCATCTGTTAGTATACAGGGTGCAAATAAACAACTAGATTTTATGGGTGTCACAGTTCCTTTGGTGAAGCTCTATCGTGGAGAACGAAAATAAGAATAAATCGAGAAAAAGTGGCGGCCATTTTATCATATTCAGAAAATAGACCACGTGACCAAATTTCATACTGTTGAAAAGTACTGTTGCCCTTGTACCAGTACAAATTTCTAAGTCACGTGGTACACTTGCATTAACAGTAAGAATAACAGAGGCCTATGGGAAATTGACCTTAGGGGTAATGAGATAGAATAAGCATGTGCCCCACTTAGAAGAAATAACATTTTGATAATTTTCAAGAGCGCTATACAAATATCAACAGTGTTACATGCTCCTATACAGAGTGTAAAGTAGGCGCTATCTCAATAAAAATAAAGAAATACATTAATTAAAAGTTTTGTTTTATGAAACAGATCGACAAAAAGGTGATTACGAAAATTGCAAATGGGGATGAGGAATACTTGGATAAATCTATAATAAAGCACAAATGTTGTGATAAACTTGACAATGGTACCAGCGTAAATTGTAAAACTTGTAAGTATAGACTTTAATTATGCATGTTTGTAAGGCTCTTTTTATTGAATAATGATAATCTAAAGGGTTTTTTTTAACATATTGCACACTGCTGGTGTTAATTTACGGAGTATTACTTTCGTTTTTCCTCATAAAAGTGATTATGCTGTTTTATAAATTCGTTATTAAGGTATCTGACATGTTATATCGTTTTGTTTAAAGCGTAGTTTGTTATATCAACATCGCTTGGGTAATATAACCTTTCAATCGTTGATATTGAATCATATAAGACACCTTTATTACTAAAATTGCCTGATTTTTCTAACAATAAATTTGTATTACGAGATTTACACTTGACTAATTTTATATATATAATAAGTATCATCTTTCTATATTTGAGTAAATAATTGTATCGTTTAAGCATACTTAACCTGAGTTGAACATGTTTTTTGTTCTTTCAGGTGTGTTCATGTTTGAAAGCATATCGCAGCCAGGAAAATGGAGCGATGCAGCTGTTGGTGCCCTTCTTCTGGTTATCGCCCTTGTTCTGTTGTGCGTTTGCCTCGTTCTGATTGTCAAACTATTACATTCATTACTAAGAGGACAAATCGCTCACATTATTCGAAAATTCATCAACGCGAACTTTCCGGGAAAATGCAGCTATTTCACAGGATATCTTGCTATCCTTATCGGTGCAGGATTAACAATTCTTGTACAGTCAAGTTCAATCTTCACCTCTTCAATAACACCACTAGTTGGTATGGGCGTACTTAGTCTAGAGAGGATGTATCCTCTAACACTTGGCTCAAACATCGGAACAACGGCTACGGGAATTCTTGCCGCTTTCGCGCAAGACCCAGATAAGATTCCAAATTCGCTCCAAATTGCATTGTGTCATCTGTTCTTCAATATTTCAGGGATATGTATCTTCTATCCGTTTCCATTCTTCCGACCACCAATCAGAATGGCGAAATTTCTCGGGGTCCAAACTGCAAAATACCGCTGGTTTGCAATTATGTACCTGTTTGTAGCCTTTTTCTTATTTCCCGCAGCCGGCTTTGGTCTGTCAGTGGCCAGCTGGATCGCTCTTGCCGCAGTATTTATACCAATTGCTGTTCTTATCATCATAATATTGATCATCAAACTCATTCAGAACAAGCGGCCACTCTGGCTTCCGTCTGTCATGCGCAACTGGAAATGGCTTCCGGAACCACTGCGGTCACTTGCACCCTTTGATCGTTTTCTGATGATAATTACCGGACACTGTTATTGTTGTCGTAAAGTTGGTTGTATGAAAGCTATAACGGACGATTCTGAAGATAGAAACCAGAAGAAATCAAAACTTGAATTTAATGACATAAACAATGACGAATTAGTGACCACTGTTACTTATGACAATGGTGCATCTGGAACAGATGGAAATTATTCTGCAAACAGTACACGCATGTAGAACATATAAGTGTGATATTAAATCCTGGATAGTTTAAAATCCTGTTTCGTAAATGAAACAAAGCATAAAGGCAGTTGTGACAAAACTGTGATATTCTGAGATTTTAACGCTGTATTTTTACAAACACAATTTTAATGGGAACGTTAATTGGTTCCCCGGATGTTGATGATATACTGTAACTGATTTTGTTGAGAAATATCTCTTTCTGACAACATTGTCTGCATCTGTTTTCTGCAAAAAATTAAAATGACATTATGCTCATTGTTTCGATGTGCAGTTGAGCTAATGTGCAGTTTAGCTGGTCAATGATGTACTGAAAAATGTTTAGGACAATATAATCTACCTTTTTTGTAAAATGACTGTCCAAATCTTTGTAAAAACCGAATGCTACCGATACATTCTAGGAATGTCCATGTGTTACGTTGAATAATTAAGGCAAAGTAAAATAAAAAATTGAACACAAATATGGCAATACATCAAATTTCTATGACTTTTACCCCGACCATTTACACCTGAAATGGCATAATGTCACTTAACACATTGACCACCTAACACAGATGGCCTCTCAGTTACGCTTCCAAACTTCGGATATACATGCCCAGTGATAAACTGTACAAAATACTTGTATCTATAGTGAAATTACAAAAAAGTTTTATTGTCTTTAATATGAAATTGTTTTAATATTTGAGCCGTGTCACGACAACCAAATAATGAGTTTGCGACCAGCATGGATCCAGACCAGCCTCCGCGCAGTCTGATCAGGGTTCATGCTGTTCGCTATCAGTTTCTGTACTTGATATAGACTTGGTAAGCGAACAGCATGGATCCTGATCAGACTGCGCGAATGCGCAGGCTGGTCTGGATCCATGCTGGTCGCAAACCCATTATGTTGGTTTTGTCGTGACACGGCTCATTTTACATTTTCATGTATATAATCATTTGTATCTGTAATGTTTGATACATGCATGTTGCTAGATTGAAGTTTTCAGATGTTTTAAGTCCCATACAGAGTGTTTTAAGCATAATGTTTCCTAATATTTGCTTTTGTTTTGTTTTATCTTGTACATGTATTTAAATATGTTAAACAGAAATGAAGATTTATCTGGCAATAAATTCTGATTGTTTTATTTTTGCTATTTTTGGTTTGTTGAATTAATCCCAAACACAAATTTGAATATTTGACTTACTAGGTTTCAAGTTTATTCAAAATATATATTCCAGTTCGCATATTTACAAAACAAAATTTAAAAACATGAGACAGATTATAGTCTGATTATGCCCCACCTCGAAGAAGAGGGGGTATATTGCTTTGCACTTGTCGGTCCGTCGGTCCGTAGACCAAATGGTTTCCGAGTGATAACTAAAGAACCCTTAGGTCTAGATACTTCAAACTTGGTATGGTGATTGGTCATGATCAGTAGATGACCCCTTTTGATTTTGGGGTCAAGGGGTCAAAGGTCAAGGTCACATTGACCTTGTAAGCAAAAACGGTTCCGATTAATAACTAAAGAACCCTTAGGCCTAGGAACTTCAAACTTGGTATGGTGATTGGTCATGATCAGTAGATGACCCTAATGATTTTGGTGTCAAGGGGTCAAAGGTCAAGGTCACATTGACCTTGAAAGCAAAAACGGTTTCCGATCAATAACTAAAGAACCCTAAGGCCCAGGAACTTCAAACTTGGTATGGTGATTGGTCATGATCAGTAGATGACCCCTATTGATTTTGGGGTCAAGGGGTCAAAGGTCAAGGTCACATTTACTTTGTAAGCAAAAACGGTTTCCGATCAATAACTAAAGAACCCTTAGGCCTAGGAACTTCAAACTTGGTATGGTGATTGGTCATGATCAGTAGATGGCCAGTAGATGGCTTCTATTGATTTTGGGGTCAAGGGGTCAAAGGTCAAGGTCACATTGACCTTGTAAGTAAAAACGGTTTCTGATCAATAGCTAAAGAACCCTTAGGTCTAGAAACCACTTGTCATGGTGGTTGGTCATGACCAGCAGATGACCCCTATTGATTTTGGGTCAAAGGTCAAGGTCACATTGACCTAGTAGGTAAAAACGGTTTCCGATCAATAACTAGAGAACGCTTAGGCTTAGAAACTTAAAACTTGGTATGATGATTGGTCATGACCAGCAAATGACTCATTGATTTTTGGGTCAAGGGGTCAAAGGTCAAGGTCACATTGACCTTGTTGGTAAAAACAGTTTCCAATCAATATCTAAAGAACGCTTAGGCCTAGGAACTTCATACTTGCTATGATGATTGGTCATTGCCAGCAGATGACCCCTATTAATTTTGGGGTCAAGGGGTCCAAGGTAAAGGTCACATTGACCTTGTAGGTAAAAACGGTTTCCGATCAATAACTAAAGAACGCTTATGCCTAGGAACTTCAAACTTTGTAGGATGATTGGTCATGACCTGTAGATGACCCCTATTGATTATGGGGTCAAGGGGTCAATGTCATATTGACCTTGTACTTAATGACAGTTTCTGACCAATAACTCAACTACTCAAGTTGCCTTGGTTGATATTTTTATATTAAACTAAAAATGCTTTTGGTATACACATTTGAAGGTCTTATGTAATATAACAACTTGGCTGTCATTAATGAGGCCTACATGATTCATAAAATTTATGCATATATTATTTGGTAAGATTTGTAATAACTTAAATTGCTGCACACAACCTATAGGGTCACAATAATTATTACCTTGTGACTAGTCATGACCAGTAGATACTAGATAACCCTTATTAATTGTTTGTTCACTGGGTCAGAAGTCATGCATATCACATGACTAATTGGCTGCCGACAGGGGGCATACATGTTTTACAAACATATCTTGTTTTCTTGGTCTCTCAATTTTGAATACAGTATAGCACTCATTTAAAAATTCGATCCTACTTTGTTTCTGTTTACGATAATTAACATGAATTAAGTGATTGCCTTGTACACGAGAGGTCTATGATTCGATCCTTAATGTTTTCATTGTTTTAGAACTACTCTTTATTTCCGCAGTATATTTTAATGGAAATGGCCAAGTGCATGCAAAATTGTCTGCATGGATATAAAGCAACTTTGAAACACTGTTTTGTCTCTTTGTACTGTGTTTTACAGAATTGAAATGACATTTATTTATTTTACTCCGAATGAATGTTTAATATTGATTCTGAAACAATGTTACTTAAAAAAATAGACTTGACCAAAATGCAAAACATAAACAAAACGAACACCATAAAAACAATAGCTTAAATAATGTTAAGAAGAAAAAAAACATGGGCCTACGTGGTCTCGATCTTACAACATGTAAGACATTTAGAAATTCCAAACCCTGTTGCGCTATAACGCTCAGTATATTAAATAGTTATAGTACATGTATATGAAACTAGTTGGTTACTAGGATGTAACACTGGCTGGGGTGACATCTTGGGATAAATCTGCAAAAAAATTGTCTCGGCCGGATTTTATGTTTTGCAGAAATGCAGAGATGTCGCCCATGCCAGTCTTACACCCCCGTACCTGACTAGTTTCATATATTTTTTGAAAATTACAACTTGCAATATTTGGTATGATATGCATTTGAGCCGCGTCACGACAAAACCAACATAATGGATTTGCGACCAACATGGATCCAGACCAGCCTTTGCGTCGGCGCCGTCTGATCAGGATCCATGCTGTCCGCTTACAGACCCTATAACAAGTAAAGAAACTGATAGCGAACAGCATGGATCCTGATCAGACTGCGCGGAAGCACAGGCTGGTCTTGATCCATGCTGGTCGCAAACCCATTATGTTGGTTTAGTCGTGGCGCGGCTCATTTGATATGAATGTTTTGGCTCTGGAAATAGAAACGAAACTGAATTAATAAGATTTCAACCAATAATGAGATCTATTGGAACATCAAGTGGTTCAAACGCTGAAAATTCATTGGTTAGATTTCATATGTGAAATAAATGTTACTTATCATAACTAGAACTGCCACAATCATGGCGTGAATACCCCCGCATACCACTTTTGTCAGAATCAACAGTGGCCATTTAGAGCTCAAGGACAACCCCCTACCAAATCTGAGGTAACTAAGCCAGTGCATTGCTAAGTTATGTATTCTACATGCTTCAAATGTGAAAATGTTAAAATCAATACATTGCGGACAGGACATTCTTTAGCAATTGGGAAGAAAAGCTTCTTTTTTGTCAAGGTCCGTGTGACCTTGACCTTTGACCCAGTGACCTCAAAATCAAAAGGGGTAACCTTATAGTCATGATCAACATCCATGCCAAATATGAAGACTGTGGGTCAAAGGAATCTTAAGTTAATGGGTGGACAAACTTTTTAAAGTCAAAGTTCCTATGACCTTGACCTTTGATCTAGTGACCTCAAAATCAAAAGTCATCTACTAATCATGATCAACATCCATGCCAAATATGAAGACTGTGGGTCAAAGGAATCTAAAGTTATTGGGCAGATAAACTTTGTGAAGTCAAAGTCCCTGTGACCTTGACCTTTGACCTGGTGACCTCAAAATCAATAGAGGTCATTTACTAATCATGACTAACCTCCATTCCAAATATGAAGACTGTGGGTCAAAGGAATCTTAAGTTATTGGGCAGACAAGCTTTTTGAAGTCAAGGCCCCTGTGACTTTGACCTTTGACCTGGTGACCTCAAAAACAATAGGGGTCATCTAATCATGACTAGTCTCCATGCCAAATATGAAGACTGTGGGTCAAAGGAATCTTAAGTTATAGGGCGGACAAGCTTTTTGAAGTCAAGGCCCCTGTGATCTTGACCTTTGACCTGGTGACCTCAAAGTCAATAGGGGTCATCTACTAATCATGACTAACCTCCATGCCAAATATGAAGACTATGGGTCAAAGGAATCTTAAGTTATTGGGCAGACAAGCTTTTTGAAGTCAAGGCCCCTGTGATCTTGACCTTTGACCTGGTGACCTCAAAATCAATAGGGGTCATCTACTTATCATGACTAACCTCCATGCCAAATATGAAGACTAAGGGTCAAAGGAATCTTAAGTTATTGGGCGGACAAGAAAAAACCGACTGACGGACGGCCGGCCGGCCGGAGGGACGGACAGACAAGCTGATTCAAGTATACCCCCCTTACAACTCTTTAGTCTCAAAATTTCTAGAATTATCTCCCTCTTGAACTTAAATTTTTATCTTATTATTCCTTTAATGTATGTTTCTTGACATCATCTAAGGTCCATTTGCATTAAGCTAGCACCATACTGTCTTCATTTGAGTTTAAAATTTATTTGAAAACTGAAGTTACTTTATCTTTTTGGTACTGATGTTATCTACTAAAGACTTAAAATTATTGATCCTTGACAATTATTCACATCATGCATGACGAGGTTCATAACTCTAGTATCTTTATTTCCAGAGTTATCTTCTCTTTGAATTTTAAGGAAAATGCTACATAAACAGCATTTTTAACTTAAGGGAGATATTTAAAGATTCAGCAAGGTAGCATTGCGCTTCCTCTCAATGGTCTCAATTTTTGTTAAGTTTAAATAAAATTCCTTCAATAATTTTCAATTCTCCGCACAACAGTGTAATAGACGGACGCAAAGACAGACAAGCGGCTATTATAGAGGAGCATAAGTAGCTGATCAGTCAGCCTTGCAATTAGATACTGGTTCATGCCTGTAACTAGTGTTCAACACTGATAAATGACAAATAAACAGTGTTTCAGTTCACTAATTTATCAAATATATTGTACAAAATGTTATAATACACCTATATGTAAGTATACAACCAAACGCACAATTATCCCTAAAATATTACCTTACATGTAGATGTATTCATGATGATCATTTACAAGATCAATTGATAATTATTCCTGTTAAAGGCAAAACCATAATTGCATATTTAATTAACTTCACATCGGTTTGTTATTAAAACACATCAACAATGTTTAAACCATAACTTGTGGAATTTGTCTAATAGATATTACAAGCTTTGAATTTGAAGCTCCAAATTTGGATGCTCAATTCAAAGTTCAAAGGATTTTAATATCAAAATACAACAAGCAATTATCATAGTATTGCAAGCAATCCATAAGTCCCCTACTGGTAAGAGCCCAAGCAACATTCTGAAGGGCCATTGGCCATTCACTTAGGTTCCTATTTTAAGTAAATTTGTTGAAAAAGTTCTTTAAAAGTGATCACAGGAAACAGTTTTTATGTACAGACAGACGGACTGAAGGACACTCTAAAAGTTATTTTTCAAACATCCCTGTTATCAAAATATAACATTTTTAAAATCCTATCATGATTGAAGAAGCTAGTTGGAGTAAAAATTACCAATTTCTCAAAAAAAAGTCTAAGTTCAAAAGGGGCATAATTCTGGAAATAGTCTTGCTAGAGTATTGAACACTCACAAATGTTGAGTGATAATAAGAAACATTTATATGAAGTTTGAAGTAGATACATTCAGAAAAATAAGTTATTAAAAAAACAATGTTTTTTTTTCATGAAAATTTTAAGTTCAAGGGAGGTAATTCTGATAAATTTTGTGCTAGAGTTGTAAACCTTGTCACATATGATGTGGTTGATGACAAGCAATTTATATTTAAAGTTTGAAGAAAATACCTTAAGAAATAAAGAACTTATAGTGAAAAAACTTAAAAACTAGAATCAGAAATCTTGAAATTCAGTCTATTTGTTGCCATAGCAACCAGAATTTTCAACATAGGAAGATAAGAAAAGAATGTGCATAATTTCTATACTGCCATCTACCCATATGTCAAGTTTCATAAACATATTTTCAGTACTTTTTGTGTTATCACTGGATCCAGGTTATGTGTAAAATTTGCCATATTTTCAGTCTATTTGTTGCCATAGCAACCAGAATTTTCAACATAGGAAGGAAAGAAAAAGACGTGCATAATCTCCATACTGCCATCTATCCATATATCAAGTTTCATAAAAATATTTTCAGTACTTTTGCGTTATCGTGGGATCCAGGTTATGTGTAAAATTTGCCATATTTTCAGTCTATTTGTTGCCATAGCAACCAGAATTTTTAACATAGGAAGAAAAGAAAAAAACGTGCATAATCTCCATACTGCCATCTATCCATATATCAAGTTTCATTAAAATATTTTCAGTACTTTTTGCATTATCGCAGGATCCAGTTTTGTGGGCGGACGGACTGACGGACGGACGGACAGACAGACGGACGGAGGGTAAACCTAAAGTCCCCTTCGGTAAACCGGTAGGGGACTAAAAAAAATAAGTTACAGTGTAGAGCCTGGCCAAACTGCAGGAATATGCAGGATAATCTGACTATACTCATAGCTTATTACCAAAGGCTTATCACTTTCTATTTCATCAAGTTATGGTTTAAATTCAGTAGTGATAGAAAATCTAAATGTTTCTTTGAGCAATATTTAATGTTTACAATCTGATTGACTGTATTGTGGTTTTCAATCATTTTGTATACATTCAGAATGAGTAAACACTTAAAAAAAATCAAACATAAAATATTTTTTAATGAGCTTTAAAAAAACACTTAATGATCACAATCTATGTGACATTTTTAAGGTTTCACATAAAAAAAAAAATGGCTGAATTATTAATTTCACAATCATATTTCTACCAAGTACAAAGATTAATGGTAAAATTTGCTCTGTCAGTTTGTCTGGTTTATATGTAGATTTCAACACATTTCTATAACAAGAGTAAAAGACCCCCGGGGCCAGACCAATTTTAACCCCAAGGGCCCTTATTTGAACACACTTGGTAGACACCCATTAGAAGATGTTTCATGCTTAATATCTTTGCTCTAGCTCTTTAGGGTTTTAAAAGAAGATTTTTTAAAAGTTTTTATCATATACATAAAGTGAAAAACAATGACCCCCTGGGGCGGGGCCAATTTTTACCCAAGGGCTTGTATTTGAACAAACTTGGTAGACATCCCCTTGAAGATGTTTCATGCTAACTATCTAAGCTCTAGGTATTTTTGTTTTTTAAAAGAAGATTTTTTAAAGCTTTAACTATATACAAATCAGGAAAATCAATGAGCCCCTGGGGCGGGGCCAATTTTTACCCAAGGGCTTTTATTTAAAACAAACTTGGTAGACACCCACTATAAGATGTTTAATGCTTAATAGCTAAGCGCTAGCTATTTTGGTTTTTCAAAAGAAGATTTTTTAAAGTTTTTACTATATACATAGTAACATATAAGGACAAGAGCGATCAGTAATCACGTGTCGCCTCATGATGGCCAATTTCATGTTGGGACAAATTTTGTGACAGACGGACAGACAGACAGACAGTGCACAACTAGACTTGGTACTGATCATTCCTGTAAAGCTTGGATGAAATTGCACCAGTAGTTTATGAGGAGTAGTCCGGACAAGCTTTTGTGTATCTGGCAACACACAGAAAAAAACACCTTTTTATCAAAGGGCCATAACTCAGCCAAAAATCATTCAACCGGAAAACCCATGCAATATGCGCAAGGACTTGAGCAACAGATCAATCCTGTAAAGTTTCATTGAAATTGCATTTGTGGTATAAGAGAAGTAGTCCGGACAAACTGTAAAATTAAAAATAATTAAAGGGCCATAACTCTGACAAAAATCATTGAACCTGAAAATGCTGACAATATGCACAACTACACTTGGTACTGATCATTCCTGTAAAGTTTGGATGAAATGGCACCAGTAGTTTATGAGGAGTAGTCCGGACAAGTTTTGTGACAGACGGACGGACAGACAGACAGACGACGGAGAAGTGATCCTTATATGTCGCCACTACTCCATAGAGGCAACACAAAAATCAATGACCCCCTGGGGCGGGGCCAATTTTTACCTCGAGAGCTTTCATTGAACAAACTTGGTAGACACCCACTAGAAGATGTTTCATGCTAAATATCTATGCTCTAGTTATTTGGGTTTTTTAAAAAAGGATTTTTTAGATTTTACTATATACAAATAAAGAATATCATGCCCCCCCCCCCCCCCCTGCCGCAGGCAAATTTTGACCCAAGGGCATTTATTTGAATAAACATGGTAGACACTGATTAGATGATGTTTCATGCCAAATATTTAAGCTCTTGCTCTTTTGGTCTTTAAAAGAAGATATTTTAAGTTTTTTCTTTCTGCTCAGAGTTCTGCTTGGTATTAAATTCTTTGAACAATTTTTGAAGTTAACTACCAAAGGAACATTCCTGTGAAGTTTGGATGAAATTGGCTTATTGGTGTATGAGAAGATGTCGTTTTAAGTAAAAGTTTACAGTAGAAAACATCAAAGAGAAAAAAGATATATTTGTAGAAAACAACAATATGAAAACAAGATCCGGTTGAACCAGGTGATGCTCCCCGAAAAGGTTTTGGACACAGGAAAGTATAAAAAAATAAACAAAGGGCAAAAACTCAAAAATTAGGCAAGGCAGCGATATGATTTTTTGCACTGCACTTCTATTCAATGAGATCTATCTATCTATAAAGTTTCGTGATAATATCTTTTATAGTTTCAGAGTTATGTCCCGGTTAAAATTCAAAGTGTAAAAATGAACAATGGGCAATAACTCCAAAATTAGACAAGGCTGTGTTTACATGGTTTAGGTTCTTTAGCGTTGCAAATCAATACAATGAGATCTATCTACCTACAAAGTTACATGCTGACATCTCTAATAGTTTTAGAGTAATGTCCCGAACAAAAGTTAAAAAGTAAAAATAAACAAAGGACAATAACTTCAAAATAAGTCAAGGCAGAGTTATGGTTTTTAAGCACTGTACTTCTACCCAATGTGACCTATCTACCTACAAAGTTTCATGTTGATATCTCTTATAATATAATTTTAGAGTAATGTCCCGGACAAAGTTCAAAGTGTCAAAATGAACAAAGGGCAATAACTCCAAAATTAGGCAAGACAGAGTTATGGTTCTTTAACAATGCAATTCTACTCAATGAGATCTATCTACCTACATAGTTTCATGTTGATAACTCTTATATTTTTAGAGTTATGTCCAAGACAAAGTTCAAAGTGTACAAATAAACAAAAAGGGCAATAATTAAAAAATTTGGCACGGCAGAGTTAAGGTTCTTGTGAACTGCACACCTACTCATTGAGATCTATCTACCTACAAAGTTTCATGTTGATACCTCTTGTTGTTTCAAAGTTATTTCCCAGACAAAAAAACGGACATACAAAGCGGTGACTATATGCTCACCCTTAGGGGAGCATAATTATATAATAATTATGTATATAAAACATTCATTTTATATATTTTTCTTATTGTATCATAGTCAAAATGATATACATGTATCAATATGACACATTAACCCAGTGAAGTTCATGACACATAACCCAGAGAATTCAGGACACATGAACCATGTGAAGTGAATGACATATAAACCAAGTGAGGTGAATGACATATAAACCCTATGAAGTGAATGACAAATTAACCCAGTGAAGTGAACCCAAAGATGCTTATGTTATCAAACATGACAAAGTGATAAAAACACATTATAAAATAGAAAAGACCATTAATTCTTGTACTTTAAACTACTGCATAATGTAAACAAACTGAGCCAATTTTTATATACTAAACAGAAGTAATTAAGAACAAGAGGGCCATGATGGCCCTGAGGTCGCTCACCTGTATATAGGCCCCAACAACCCCCACCCCCAACGTTGCAGGGCCAATTTAACCCAAGGGCTTTTATTTGCACAAACTTGGTAGACACCCATAAGAAAGATGTTTCATGCTAAACATCTAACCTCTTGCTCATTGGGCTTTTTAAAAGAAGATTTTTTTAAAGTTTTTACTATACACATATAGTTAAAAACAATGACACCCCTGGGGCCTGGCCAGTTTTGACCCCAGGGCTTTTATTTGAACAAACTTTTTAGACACTTACTAGAAGATGTTTCATGCTTAATATCTAAACTCTAGCTATTTGGGTTTTTTTAAAGAAGATTTTAAGTTTTTGCTATACACATTTAAAGAAAATCAATCCCCCGGGGCGGGGCCAATTTTGACCCAGGTCTTTTATTTGAACAAACTTTGTAGACACCCACTAAAAGATGTTTCATGCTTAATATCTTAACTCTAGCTATTTGGGTTTTTTCAAAGAAGATTTTTGAAGTAAGGAAAATCAATGGCCCCCGGGCTCTTATTTGAACAAACTTGGTAGACACCTATTAGAACAGGTTTGATGCTAAATATCTTAGCCATAGCTCTTTGAGTTCTTTAAAAGAAGATTTTTTAAGTTTTTACTATATGCATATTGGGAAAATCAATGACCCCTCAGGGCGGGGCCAATTTTGACCCCAGGGCTTTTATTTGAACAAACTTGGTAGACACTTATAAGAACATGTTTCATGCAAAATATCTTAGCTCTAACTCTTTTTGTTCTTTAAAAGAAGATTTTTTAAGTTTTTACTATATGCATATAGGAAAAATCAATGACCCCCTTGGGCGGGGCCAATTTTGACCCCAGGGCTTTTATTTGAACAAACTTGGTAGACACCCATTAGAACATGTTTGATGCTCAATATCTTAGCCATAGCTCTTTCAGTTCTTTAAAAGAAGATTTCTTAAGTTTTTACTATATGCATATAAGGAAAATCAATGACCCCCCGGGGCGGGGTCAATTTTGACCCCAGGGCTTTTATTTGAACAAACTTGGTAGACACCCATTAGAACATGTTTCATGCTAAATATCTTAGCTCTACCTCTTTGGGTTCTTTAAAAGAATATTTTTTAAGTTTTTACTATATGCATATAGGGAAAATCAATGACCCCCCGGGGCGGGGCCAATTTTGACCCTAGGGCTTTTATTTGAACAAACTTGGTAGACACTCACTAGAAGATGTTTCATGCCAAATATCTAAGCCCTAGCTCTTATGGTTTTTTCAAAGAAGATATTTAAAGTTTTTTCTTTCGGTTGCCATGGCAACCAGAGTTCTGCATGGAATTAAATTCTTTGAACAATTTTAAAAGGTGACCACCAAAGGAACATTCCTGTGAAGTTTGGATGAAATTGGCTTAGTGGTTTATGAGGAGATGTCATTTAAAGTAAAAGTTTACAGTCACTTTGTGACAGGTGAGCTAATAAACTAAAGCTATCACTGAATGCAATTCATACCCCCACCAATGTCCTTGACAGAAGACAACTTGGAAAGGTGGTTAAGGGAATAACTTTAGTGGCACAAATAAATAAAAAGAAATTATCTCTGGTGAAAAAAAGACTAATTGTACAGGCAATAGTATAGATATTTATTATCAAATCATGTTCGAAACAGTTACAAATAACCTTTCATTTTCCCAATGTACTAAACATTTTATAAGTCAATTTTTGACCTTCAAGTGTGGCCTTGACCTTAAGCTGGCACAAGGGTAGGATGGATTCTGCACATTACCCAGTGGTGTGAACAATTGAGTAAAGTTTAGAATTTATAGAGCGGACACGACATTGTCTAGTATTGATTGTATGTAAATCTAAAGACTTAACAAGAGCTGTCCGTAAGACAGCGCGCTCGACTTTTTTATTGCTTGCCAATAAAAAAAGTTTTTGCAGTAAAAGGCAATACAAGAATCTCTGTATTTTTAAAGTGAACTAGTTGTTTGATACCCTTGAATATTACAGCAATGTTTATATGACATAATTTATGGTAAAGTGAACAAGTGGATAGGAATGAATTTTTTTAGATTTTTTAAGTTTTTTAGTGCTTGCCTATAATACAAAACATTGACAGTTAAGGGCCATAATTCAAATAAAATCTTTGACAGAATTACCTTCTCCTGGACATGTTTGGGAATCATGATTGTAAACAAGTATTCCAACTTTCAAATTAATATCTCAAACAGTTCAGTCAAAAGTGGACTGGTACTAAAAACTTAACCAAGATTCTAAGTCGATAAAAGGCCTTAATTTTTAAAACAAATCCTTGACAGAGTTACCTTCTCTTGCGTACAGATGGGGTAATGATGTGAAATAGCATTAAAAGTTTCAAAGCAATATCTCAAAGGGTTAAGGCAATAAGTGGATTTTACCCATAATTCAATGTATTTTCTAAGTCAAAAAGGGGCATAATTCTGTCAAAAACCTTGACAGAGTTATGTCCTCTTGTCTGTTGATGAAGGTCGTGATGGTAAACAAGTATGGTCAGTTTCAAAGCAATACCTCCAATGGTTTTGAAATAAAGTGAGGTGGTACAAAAAACTTAACCAAGCTCAATACACTTTCTAAGTCAAAAAAGGGCCATAATTCTGTCAAAAACCTTGACAGAGTTATGTACTCTTGTCTGTAGATGGAGGTTATGATGGTGAACAAGTATGGTAAGTTTCAAAGCCATACTTGTAATACTTCTGAAATAAAGTGGGGTGGTACGAAAAACTTAACCAAGGTGTGACGCCGACGCCGACGCCGGGGCGAGTAGGATAGCTCCCCTTTTCATAGAAAAGTCGAGCTAAAAAGGGGCATAACTTTGTCAAAATGCAATACAGAGTTATGAAACTTAACCTGCATAACTTATTTGTGACACCTCATATATCTTTCAAGTTTCAAGCAAATACCTTTTCTACTTTCAGAAATATTTAAGTACATGTGAAAATTTAAGAACATTTTCTAAGTCAATTTTTTACCTTCAAGTGTGACCTTGACCTTTAGCCTGCACAAAGGTGACATTGATTCTGCACATAACCTTGTTGAGGTGAACATTTGAGTAAAGTTTGAAGAAAATTCTTCCATAAGTATGGGATTTATAGAGTGATCACAGCATATTGTCTAATATTTGACTGTATGTAAATTTGAAAACTTAAAAAGGGGCATAACTTTGTTAAAATGCAATACAGATATATGAAACTTGACCAAAATATCTTAATTGTGACACTTCATATGTATTTTAAGTTTCAAGCAAATACCTTTTCTAGTTTCATAAATATTCAAATTTTAATACATGTTTAAATTTAAAAAGTCAATTTTTTACCTTCAAGTGTGACCTTGACCTTAAGCCGGCAAAAGGGTGACATGGGTTCTGCACATTACCTTGTTGAGGTGAACATTTGAGCCAAGATTAAAGAAAATCTTTCAATTAGTGTAGGACTTACAGAGCAGTCACGACATATTGTGTAATATTTGATTGTTTGATATTTGACCTTCAATTGTGACCTTGACCTGACACATAGGCAACATGGGTTCTGCACATCCCCTTGTTAAGGTGAACATTTGAGCCAAGTTTAAAGAAAATCCTTCAATTAGTGTAGGACTTACAGAGCGGACGCAACATACTGTCTTATATTTGATTGTTTGATATTTGACCTTCAATTGTGACTTTGACCTTGAGCTGACACATGGGCAACATGGGTTCTGCACATCCCCTTGTTGAGGTGAACATTTGAGCAAAGTTTGAAGAAAACCTTCAATTCGTGTAGAACTTACAGAGTGGACATGACATACTTTGTAATATTTGATTGTTTGACATTTGCTCTTCAATTGTGACCTTGACCTTGAGCTGACACATGGGCAACATGGGTTCTGCACATCTCCTTGTTGAGATGAACATTTGAGCCAAGTTTGAAGAAAATCTTTCATTCAATTATTGTAGGACTTACAGAGCGGACACAACATACTGTCTTATATTTTATTGTGTTTGATATTTGACCTTCAATTGTGACCTTGACCTTCAGCTGACACATGGGCAACATGGGTTCTGCACATCCCCTTGTTGGATGAACATTTGAGCCAAGTTTGAAGAATATCTTTCAATTAGTGTAGGACTTACAGAGTGGACACGACATACTGTCTAATATTTGATTGTGTTTGATATTTGATCTTCAAATGTGACCTTGAGCTGACACATAGGTAACATGGGTTCTGCACATCCCCTTGTTGAGGTGAACATTTGAGCCAAGTTTGAAGAGAACCCTTTAATTGGTAAAGGATCTATAGAGCAGACACGAAAATGGAGATGAACCGACCGATGGACGGACGGACGCGACAAAGCGAATCCATTATAGCCCCCCCCCCCCCCCATTTTGTGGTGGGGGTATAATAAATACAAATTAATGCAAGCCGTGGAGTGTAAATAAAAGAAACCTGTTTTATTATAAAATATAAGCAAAAAGTGAATGTATAAGAAGAATGTATGTAATTACTTCTGAAGAATCTGTAGCATTACATTGTTTCTGTAAAATATGAAATATTGCAAGCATCTGTTACCAAACAATCACTGCTTAACAAATAACAGAAAATGTTACTAGTACATGTTTAAAGTGATACACATGTATTTGTTTACAACTGTATTGTAAAATATTTTTCCCTTTCTGTCCAAGATAATACTATAATCGGATCATAACTTATTATATAAATAACACAACATAGTTAAGAAATTACATAAAATATTGAGTGATAGCACACTGATGAAGTTTGATGTAACAAAATTTTCTTATAAATTCCTTTACCAATTGTCCCCAGGCTTACGGTAATATATGCATCTGGTCACACTAGCAGATCAACATAGAAACAAAAATAACAATGATATATGTAACATGGTTACATTTATTCCTGGGTTGTTGTCATGAAGATCAAGAAGGCAATTGTGGAGATAAAGTAAATAAACAAAAAAATAGATAGAAGGCAGCAGATTTAAATCTCATTTTCATACCGCCAGGTGAGTGTCCCTAATGACAGATAAAAAGCATTGCAAAACTACAAAAAAGTAAAAAAAAAATCTATCTTTGACCTCAGTGACCTTCACCTTTGACTTCAAACTGCACAATATACATATCAATGAATAGTAAACACATACCAAATTCACATACCAAATATCTCAGATATCAGCACAAAAAATTAAGTGACCTTGACCCTACTGACCACAAACCTCAAAAAAGAGTAGCGGTCAATAAAGATACCTACATACCAAATTATCTAAGATATTGGTCTATAAATTTTTTTTAATGATGATGCTATCAGAGAACACATTACTAAAAGTTGGAAAGACTAAATTATAACAAATGACAACATTTAGATCCTTGAAAAAAGCATGTAGTGAAGCATTAAAAATACAAAACACCAAACATAAAACAATAATACCCTGAATTCAAATATTATATTGTAGACTCTCATGCATTCAATTCATTAAATCAAACATTCATTGATTAATTCATCTAACCAAACTTTTGATACATGTTCATTTGGTCAATGAAAATATATCTATATAAAACTGTCACCCAAAGTTGAGCAACAATTTAAAATTAAATACATAATTTTTATCACATAATCACTAACAATATCACAATAATAATTATATACAAGGCTTCACTATGTTATCTACATAGCTGTAGAAATACCAGTTATCATACATGTAATTATAAGAATACAATAAATCAATGAGATTGAAATATAAGATTACATTTTGTACAAAACAAAGATTTCTCTAGGTTTAAGTATAGTGTGCCTTTTTTCTAAATTAAAATTCTCTGCATGTTTACTTATTATTTAAGAGAGAATTTTACAACACAGTTAGAAATCTACAGTAATATAACCATCAGATTGTGTCAAAATAGCAATGACTTTGCTTTACTAACATTTTCTAAATAGCTCAAGTTTAATGTAATTTTCTAATATTCATCAAAATATCAAGACACAGAATTTGTACAACTTTAAGTAATACTCATCATTAACTAATACTTAACAGAAATACTTAACATTCCAAACTATATTTATATGCTCTTAAACTATTAAAAGGACTATCAACATATATTAGTTATTGCATTGATAATCTTTATCTGATAATACACAAGCTACAGTAAATTCTCAAATTTATTATTCTTTTATAGGTAAGGTTATGTTCATTTCTTTGCAGACATCTTTAATACACTTCAATAAATGCCTCACATCATTGGGGAACAGGTATCCAATACTTCCTATCCTAAAACAGTCTGCATCAAGCACTTTACCTGGGTAGATAACCTGATCTGAAATATAACAACAAGAAAATCTGTGATTATTTAGTGATAATATTTCAACTGAAAACTTACAATACAAGCTAGTCTTCTAGCCCTCATGTATAGACTAAAACAAACCAAGTCTGCAATTTTCATGTAATTTTGCTGTTTTAAATGCTTCAGAGGGATCACTTTTTATCCAGATATTTCATATTAAAGGGAGGCACAGGCAAAATTTTCATTTCCTAGCTTTGAATTTTTCATTCCTTATTCTGTAAATGCCCTCAAAATGAATATATTAAGACAGTCAAATGACAAAACTTTCATCCATCTAAAGAATAAAATGGTGCCTTCCTAAATTGACCCGCGTGGGTCAGGTTAGAGCGCTTGCATTTCACAATAGTTATCAAAGTGAACACTGGAAACATTAAAGAACATGTCAAACGAATGACTTAGTATTCTTTCAATCATACAATATCCACAATATCTGTAATTGTAACTTCAAGGGTTTGTTCAAGTCACCTGACCTGCTCTTAAACTATTTGGTGATTCTATTTGCGTCTTAATTTTGTTCAACGTATATAGATATATTTACGCTTCAAACCCAAAATATATTAAATTTAAACAGAAATTCATGCTGAAACTTCAAGAAAAGTCATTTTAGAGTGAACATCCCTTTAAAAGATAATAGTTCTATCAAATTTAGCAAATATGACTATAAATAAATATTTTTTTTTTTCAATCTTGAAAAACAATGTCACTGACAGAATTGCATAGAAAGTAGCCTGAGTTTTATTTTGTAAGGAAAGATATTGAGGAAGATTTTACATTTCATGTGACATCATGCAAAATTAATTTCAAATGGACAAAACCTAAGTTTAAGTGAGTTTCTTAAATCAGTTCATTAAAGAGAAATTTTTATTTCTATATCAATCTCTCAACCAGTTTATATGAGAATAAATTATAACATGTAATGCCTGAATGATCAGTGTAAAATAGATTTAAATTTGATAGCAATGCTGCACCAGGATATGAATCTGTAAAGAAAATTAATGCTCTTTTATCAATATTTGTCAAGGGTGTATAACATAGCATTAATATCAATATTTGTCATGGGTGAAAAACATAAGTCGGTTACTAAAATGAATTCCTTTCAGGTAGAGATAAATTGAAATGCACACATTTTTTGTATCTTATGCGAGGTAGTGACAATAACATAGAGTAAGTGATATAGACACAATAAAACCCTATCAACCTTGATGTTTGATTGTTTGTTTGGATTTCAGCGGCACGTCAACACATAACAGGCCATATCGTGCCGTTCAACCTTGATACTTTATAAAATATCATTTATCAATTTCCTGTTCTTTAACATTGTTCTTTCAAAAACAAGAGGGCCATGATGGCCCTTATATTGCTCACCTGATTGTGAAGACTCAATCCCATCTTATTAGGACTGTGTGACCTAGTTTTTGAACAAAGATGACCCATATTTAAACTTCACCTAGAAATCACCAAAACAACCTTTCTGACCAATTTTCAGGTTATTTGGACCACAACAGTGACTTCTAAGGAGTAAACAAGGTTTTTCCATATAAGGGCTGAGTGACCTAGTTTCTGAATACAAGTGACCCATATTAAAACTTGATCTGGCAATCATCATAACAACCATTCTGACCAATTTCCAGGATATTTTGTCTGGAACAGTAGCCCCTAGAGTGTAAACATGGTTTTCCAATATTTAGGCTGTAAGTTCTTGACCCCAGGTGATCCATATTCAAACTTGACCTTGAAATCATCATTTCAATCTTATTGACCAATTTCCAGGATATTTGGTTTAAAACAGTAGTCAATCTTATTAAAAGGAGCTAATTAAGCCAGACATATACAAATAACGGAAATCAATGACCCCTAGGGCTTTTATTTAAACAAACTTGGTAGACACCCATTTGAAGATGTTTCATGCTAAATATCTTAGCTCTAGTTCTTAGGTTTTTTTAAAAGAAGATTTTTTAATTTTCTACTTTATGTATATAATGAAAACCAAAGACACCCGGGGCGGGTCAATTTTGAGCCTAGGGTTTTTCTTTGAACAAGCTTGGTAGAAATTTACCAGAAGCTGTTACATGCCAAATATCTAAGTTCTACTTCTTTCGGTTTTTTACAAGAATTTTTGTTTTTAAGATTTTACTATATGTATAATTATAATGAAAATCAAAGACCCCCAGAATGGGGCTGATTTTGACCCAAGGACTTTTATTTGAACAAACTTGGTAGACATTCACTAGAAGATTGTTCATTGCAAAGTATCTAAGCTCTAGCTCATTTTTTTTTTTTTTTTTTTTTTTTCAAGAAGATTTTTTAAGATTTTACTGTATGTTTTTAATGAAAATCAATGACCCCCAGGGCGGGACCAATTTTGCCCCCAGCGCTATAATGTGAACAAATTTTGCAGAGTTTCAGTAGATGATATTACATATATAATATCTAAGCTCTAGGCCTTGCACCTTCAGGAGAAAATTCTTAAAGATTTCATTTCAAAAATTTATGTTTAGCTCTCCTGACCAAGATGTTCAATTGATTGAGCAGAACCATTTGATCAATTGTAGTAGACCTTCATGCTAGGAACATCCCAGGAAATTTCATCTCATTTGGCCCAGTCATTTCTGAGAAGAAGTTGTTTGTACAGTCCGACCCCGGTTATTCGACAACCCTTTATTCGAATACCTGGCATTATCCGAAGTAGATCGGCAGTCCTGTTTTTATGGCTATATAAATCAATGCAAATACGAGCGTATTATTCGAAATGCATTATCCAAATGCCTCCTACTTTTCGAAGTAAAATTTCGGTCCCGACAATACAATTATGAAAGAATTTTACACCTATTATTCGAAGCCAGCCTTATTATTATTCGAAGTCAGACTAATTGGCACAGATCCCCTTGCTGATTGGTCGACTTGTGAAAAACATCAATAGTCATGCATGTATTTAGACAATCGTGATAGCTCTTTAATTACCGAAAATGAAAAGCACTGCACCGTGTCCGACTTTGTTACTGTTATTGCTTGAAGATGACAGCAATATTTTTCATACATACCGTATATGTAAATTTGTCAAAACATCCAATACGCTTTATAAGAGCCTTTTTCCTAATCGAAAATACCAGAGTTTAGCTGTAAATACCGTAGTGACAACACAGCCATTATCAAGGTTTTGCGCGAAACAAAGCAATACATAATGTAGAATAAAATGCAAGTATTTATGTCTTCAATGTCAATACAATAATGTTTACGCATCTTTTCTTTAATATTTATTTTTCTCAATTGATTACAGGAAGTAAATGTGTTTTAAACAGTAGTTTTACTACGACTCGTCAAAGTGGAGTAGTTTTTGTCTATCACAATATTCGTATTTCGATTATTTGAACCCATTGATTATTCGAAGTAAATATTCAGTCCCAGGCACTTCGAATAAACGGGGTTGGACTGTATAAAAAAGTTGATGACAGACACACAGACACTAAGCATACGTATTTACGAAATGGTACTTAAGTGACTTTTCCTTTGATCTTTTTAGCCATTTTTAGTCACACAAGGCTTAAAAAAAACACACAAGTTAAAACGCAAATGAATAGGATCAAAGTGAATTTACTGTTACCACTTCTGCTCCAAGTCACACAAGTACCTCTGGGTTTGTACACACTGACGGATGATGGACAAATTGTGAGCACACAAAAGCTCACAATGAGCACTTTGTGCTCAGGTAAGCTAAAAACAAATCTTTTCAAGTAGTACTTAAAAAGAAAAACTGATTCTATGAAATATAAATTACCTCTTTCATTCAATTTCATGTAGAAATTGTTAAAATTGAAATGTTTATCTTGTGGAAAGCAATATGATGTAATGATATATCCTTCATGGTTTGGGCTCAAAAATTCTTTAAAACCCATTTCCTTCATACCTGCCTTCAATATTGTACAATTCTCTCTATACCTGAAAAAACAACAATTCTCTATATTCAACCTAGCTCAAAACAAAACAATGGTAATGCAGTTTAAAGTACATATAGATGGATTTCATTCTTTGTCTTTCTTTTAATAAATAATTGAGAAAATTTCAAGTTTAAATCAACTGATCATAGATATGTTGGAACACTTACTTATTATATAGTAAAATTTCATATTCTTTAATTACAAGTTTTCTGCTTACAAAAAATGTTTAAAACAAGAATATACATGATTAATTCTTTAATTCATAAAGCTTAGAATAGAATTTGTTAAATAATGTTGATCTGACAAGTTTTTTAGAGGAATATTTCTTTTTTTCCCGCATAAACATTAATCAAAATAAACTTTATTATCACAATTTCATACTCTGCCATAAAAGTCATACTGTAACCCAAGAAATTTTTGTGACCAGTTGTTTGGTAATTGGTATTTGTTTTATTTACAGACGGTAATGAAGTGCAAAAATAAGTTTGCCAGATTTACAACTGTTGATAATGCCTAGTTTAGCTCAGTTAGACAGGATACCAGTTCAAACAGCAAACAAATGCAACCAGTGATCACATGTGTCGCCTCATGATAGCCAATTGCATGTTGCAGCTACTGTGTAGCAGGAGACACAATTCATTAACAGGGCAAAACACGTTTTTTATTCAAGGGCCATAACTCAGTCAAAAATCATTCAATCGGAAAAGTTGTGTAATATGTGTAAATACTTGAGCTACAGATCAGTCCTGTAAAGTTTCATTGAAATTGCATTAGTAGTATAAGAGGAGTAGTCCGGACAAATTGTAAAAATCAAAATCATTAAAGCAACAAAATCACTGAACCGGAAAATGCAGATGATATGCAAAACTAGACTTGGTACTGATTATTCCTGTTAAGTTTGGATGAAATTGCATCAGTAGACTTTGAGGAGTAGTCAAGACAAGGTTTGTGATGAACGAATAGACAGATGTGCTCAAAGTTTGGTATTTAACTGGCTACTCATTTTTTCTCTCTTTTGTTCATTTAGCCACATAAGAAAAAAAAGCATCAAAGAAAATTTACTGTTACCTATTGCTCCCATGGCCCCCTAAGTATCTAAATGTTTGTACGGACAGATTGACAGACAGACAGAGACCATGGAGAAATGATTCCTATATGTCGCAACTACTCTGCAGAGGCGATACAATAAATACTGTACATAAAGTGGTCCTCATTAATAGCACTAACACTCAGACATAGTGCACACACTCACATATAAGAAACATTCTCGCTAGGTCCTGATTTCCCAAAGATCATGATTTAAAATACAATTGCAGCACCTGTATCCAGTAAACTGTAGGTAGAAACACACTTACCTAGCTGATCTACCTTCAACCCCTCCCTCTGTTTCAAACTCCTGTATAGCCTGTGCAAATGCCAGCATTGTGTGGGTAGGTGGGGTAAATCTAAACTGATTTGTCTTTTCTAAATTGTCATACTGCTCAAATAAATCTAAACTTATACTTCTGGAATTACCTGCAATTGACAAGTTATGCAAACTTAATATCTTCCTTAAATGGTGCATCTCCACATTTTTAACTAGAAAATGTTTTTCTTAGAATCAAAAAGAAATTAAAAAATTGTTCTACATGTTAGTTGATATATCTAACAAAATCTTCATGAATAACCACGGATACATTCTTTTACAACAAGCATGAAAAGTCAGCAGGCCTAAAATCTGGTAAGGTTACCTATGATGAAAACAAAGAGAAAGAGTTATCTATCTAACCAGTACATCAAGAAAGTAAAATAAACAACAGGAATGTTGATATTTAAATTTTTCAGCAATCTCAAATAGAATATAATTAAATTATGTCATCTTTGTGTTGTAAAAATCACTTTTTATTGAAAATATTTACTTAATGTTGTGTATAGAACCATATCTGTATAACAGGTATAAAGATACTGATCATATTATACAGGTATTTTCTGAAAAAAATAGTATTCATAATGCTCAATACTACTTTTGTTCTAGTTTCAAGTATTTTTAGCCTGACAAAAAACTTCTAGTGTGAACTTTTCATTTTGGATCATATTCAATGTTATTTGACCTTTATAACTGCTTGTAGTTAATAGTATAAAACATAGTGTCCAAATAATATTTACACATGTTAATATATTTTAAAGGGAAGTTAAAGATCCTGTAACTCAAATTTTTTATGGTTTTATTTCATAAATATAATGCTCAAATGAAGATTTATCAATATTGTAAGTTCCAAAAAGCATTATTTGTAAAGATATTATCAAATTTAAATTTCGTGTAAATAAAGGGAGGTAACTAGAAATTTATTTTTGATAAAGTCTAAGCCAAATTTTTCAATAAAAATGAATGCATATTTAATGATTACTTATAATGTATATACACACAGACAGAACATATTTAACATATTCTTGGATGTTTGGAAATTGTTTTAGAAGATTGATCATAAACATACATGTATATAAAATTTCACTTAAATATTGTTACATCCTTGATTACAAAATACAGAATCTTTAAAGGAACTGTTTAAGAATAACTCCCAAAAGAAAATGTTAAAGCTGAACCAAGACTTCTGCTGTAATACTCAACTTTAAGTTAAAAGCAACAACTCTATAACCTGTTTTAAAGCTCCAACATTTCTCTTGCTAGATCATTTGATCACCTTTTTCATACTATATCCAGTTTGATACAATATTTGTTTAAACAATGCCTTTTGACATTTAAAACATTCACAAAATACAGAGATGATGAAAACATAACTATATACATGTAGGATAAATGTCATTATCAAATAGTTTAACTATGCTTTAATGCCAAATGAAAGTTCAATTTAAATCTTTGTTCATTTCAGATTGGATTTTTGGTCACAATTCATGCAAGCATTAGTTATTATCAAAATATGGTTTATTGAACAGAACTTTAAGCAGACATCTAAATATCACCAGCTGTACTATTTGATACTGACCATTTAGTCATTCATGTGTTTTTGACAATAATCAAATTATTAAACACATACCTTTACAGTCTAGCAGTTTATTAAGTCTGGCTATTGCATATGAAAATCCAGGCACACCCTCAAGGCATTTGTTTACTGAGCTGACTAGATAATCTACTTTAGCAGCCTCAAGATCTAGAGGTATAGCTCCAAAACTACTCATTGCATCAACAAAGAAATCACTCTCTGAAAATAGACAAAGCATGGTTAATTACATCTAACTTTTCTTTAATTCTTTCAGTATCTATGTAGCCAAGCAACCAGTTTTTGCAATTCTTTAAGAAAAGGTAACTACATGTAAAAAATCATAATTCAAATTTTAGTTTTTGTATGTAGATATTTTCTCTACTAAAAGTAATCTTCATTGGTTATTAATTCAGCAGCAATTACTCTCATCATATTATTTGGTAAAACTGATAAACATGTGCAAACAAATGCCAAAATGAGAAGCAATATATCTAAATAAAAAAAAATAAGACATCCTCCTGAAACTAGACTGAAATGTCTTGACATGTAAACAGTCAGATGTATTGATAATGCCTAGTTATATTTCTAATACTAATCCTTAATAAGGTGGAGAAGTAAGTGTGAGCCTTTACCACCATTATTGAGCCAGGCAAGACTTGCACATCTGTTTAATCTAACTAGGCCCTATACTGACTGTACCTCAACTTTTGTATTTTTACACTGAAAAAACTTATAACCTAAAAAGACTGTTCCAAGTTCAAGGCTGGACAAGTTCATTTAAGAAATTCACGAGGTTCATGGGTAATTTCGTTTATTCAATAAGTTTTGGGCAGAGAATGAAACATCTATGGCTGTATTTATTTATCTAACATATACATTATGTACCTGGAAGATGTTGTTTTACGATTTTACCAACACCTTCTACCGGGTTGATTACACCTGAACTAGTCTCACAGTGAACCATAGCAACTAATGTGTATGAGTTATTTCCCTGTAGAATACTCTCCACCTTCTTAAGGTCCAATATAGTCATTCTCCGGAAAAACTGATCACGTCAACTTCAACTCCATGAACCTCACATACCTTACCAAGGCGCTTCCCGTATGCTCCATTCTCAAATACTAGCACCTGAATACAAATATACATATAGTATAATCATACAGGAAACACAACAATGAGCCACCGTTACACATGTAAATACTCAAATGCTGAAAATACCTATATAGAATGTTCAAGTGAGAATACAAAAAATATCTTGGTTTTAGATTAGATTTATTTCAACATTAAATGTGCATTTACAAGGCAAGTGACATTTATAAGTGTAGAACTGTCAAAGATACTAGGTAGGGAAAAAATCTTGATTTAATTCATGTTACATTAGCATGAACAAACAAAATGATGTATCCCAAATGAAAATAATAATCACCTTTGCCGCTGATCTTTTAGTGGCTGTTTGAAAGACTGACTCTATAGCAAATGTTCCACTTCCCTGCATAGGCACAGCAGTAAATGTGGAATCTGATACACCTGAAATAACAAATGCAATGGTGTGAGAAGTTAGACTAAGCAATTATATTATCTAACCTGCATCCTTTTTTATATTGACTCATGTGGATAATACACTTTAGGGATGAGAGAATCAATTGTATGTATTGCCAAGGTGGTCCAACTGTATGGACAAGTAAAATTTTTCTGTACTTTTATTTACTTTATAAATAACATACAGACAAAGAAAATGAAACAATTTAGATAAAATGGACAAGTAGATCAAATCAGATTTTAGTCAGACCTGCAATTTTCAATTGTTCAAATGTATAATTCTAAAAAAAGGCTTCACAAATTTTAACAATGTATTGATTAAAACAAAAAAATAAGATACTGAGAAAAAAATCAAACAAAATCAAACTGGAATTAAATGAAATTCAAACAAAATAATTTTTTTTACATTATTCAAGTTATTATTAAAGTTACATGGTATAAAGTGAGTAAACAGGTGAAGATCAAAATAAGTGTTCATTTTGCCATAATACCTTTTAATTTCATAATTAAGTTCAAATAAACAATAAATAACGTCAGATCCAAACGAAATTTCTCTAAATATCCATTAGAATTTACCTATAACGCTTACTTTATGAAAAGAGTGGGGCAGTCTTTTTATATTTTAGGCAGATTTATAATTTTATCCTAAACATTTTCCAATATCCACTGTTGGTAAAACACCATTTTGGCAGTCAATCTTTTGAAATATAAAGTCAATTCAGCTCAACTTGACTATAAAAAATATGAGCATCATGTCACTTTAAGTGATTTTTGCCTTACATGTATACAACAATGACCTATAAAGATCTCTTCCAAATAAAATGTTTTCATTAAAAGTATGCAGTTTTCCAAAAAATCATTAATTTTAGCTATAATTTTTTCCAAAAGCAAAGGGCTAAGCTTGACTTACTTCAAAGAGTACACCTATTTGATAAAACAACAGATGCATGGCCCCACAGACACAGGGATTTATTCATTCTAAATGCAAATTTTGGCATTTTGGTTGTACATCTGGAATATCCTAGTCAATTCTTTACTACATGCACTTTAAAACAGCCTTGGTCCGAGTGAAAAGGGCCTAATGATGCTACAGATTGCTGTTTTTATGTTGGTTACATTTTGTTAGGGTTCTTATTTATTATAACTTAAGTTACTTTTATAATGACTATTATCCTACCTGCAATTTGTACCAATTTACTCCTTATAGTTTTAATTAACTTGATAAATTCTACATCTCTTGAGCCAAGGTCTCTAAGCATAGCAGATTTTACAGTTGATGATGTACCAAGAGGACCTGGTGTAAATAATTTCTTATCTGAAAATACATAGCAATAAATAACATTAATCATATAATTATTTAGTCTTTACAAATAGGTAAGTCCTTCTTTACAACAAAAATGTCCATGAAACAAGAATATGTAGCATAATTATGTTACTTTCAGTTTACATGTATATAATTTTCATCTCTATTTTCTACAATTCAAAATTCATGAGAGACTATTTTTAATATTTTTTTATATACATGTTATTCTGATTATCCATACTTCATTATGAGTCTAACCTCCAATGTTGACTATCCCTTCATAACATTACATGACATATAGCTTAATAAGTAACAACTTAAACATGACACAAATCAAATATAAACAAGAATCCTTGAGCTTTTAGGAAAGAACAAATGACAATCATGAATTATAACCCATTCATCACACATTTAGATAACAAACCTGACATTGTTTTTGGTGATAAAAAAATCTGTCTTGATTGCAATATTTCTGTAGCATTAACTGAACACAGTGGGCGTATGTCTCTTATTCCATATGAATGTGCTAGCTTTCTAATTGACATTCGTAAAGCCATCACTGAAAATTAAAGACAATTATAATACAATCATTGTCATATTTCCATAAAATAAGTGAAGTTAAAAGCAGTTTAGCTTTAAACATTCACCATAAAAGTTAAAATTGAACAAGACCTGTCTGCTGACAGTGTCCTCCACTTTTCTCAGTGGGTCAAATTAGATGAAATTTTCCTAGGATGTTCCTTAGGCGCTACTAAAATTGTTCAAATGGTTCTGCTCCATTGACTATTAAGGTCAGGAGGGTTAAAATCCTTTATGTGTATATATTAGCCAATACACTCTGCAACATAGCAAAACTTCAAGTTTCACTACACAGAAAATGCCTATATTTCCAACAATGTAAATCACATTTACCCTATTCAACTGTCAGTTCTGCTTCATTGAAATACAAGACAATAGTGAATATTTACATATTGATTATTGCAGCATTAATCCTTTGCTGAAACAAACAGATTTTAAAAATAAAATCTTTAAAAATCATATCCTCTGAAAGTGCAAGACTTAGAGCTTAGATACTGTGTCACTGTGTGTAGCATTATCTAATGAAATAAAAATTGTTCAAATTATAGCCCTAGGTCACAATTGGACCAACCACATAGTATCATGGTTTCCCTGATAATGATATAGTTAATAATTCAAGAATCTTCTTCTTGAAAACTGCAAAGGCTATACATGTATCTTAGATATTTAGCATGAAACATTGTCTAGTGGACCTCTTCAAAATTTATTCAAGTTATAGCCCTTGTGTCAAAATTCTCCCCCCTCAAGGGTCATGTATTTTCCTTACATGCATATTGTATATGGTAAAAATAAAAATTCTTCTTCTTTAAAACCATTAAGGCTAAAGCTAAGATATTCGGCATGAAACTTTTTCTACAAGATCTATCAAGTTTGTTCAAATTTTAGCCAAAGGGCCATTGGCCTCAAACCTCGCAGCCCTCACCCAAGGACATACTTATTTTTTGTAAAGCAGTGAAAGCTAGTGCTTATTACAAGAATTTGAACAATGTTGGTCACTAGACCATACCTCATTTAAAATATATTTTAAAATTTATATTTTATATATATATTTAAAACTTAAATCTTCTGACTTATTTTGTTTTTGTTTTTAAAGCTACAGCTATAAAATTTGGACCTATTCACATTTATAGATGCAAAATTGAACTTTGACATCTGTTGACCTAGATTTTGACCCAGCTAGTGACCTACTTTTTGTAAACAGAGCTAACACTATGAACTTTGGACGTATAGCAGTTTCAGTCGCACAACTGAAGAACATTGACCTGGATTTCAATTTTGACCCAGTGACCTACTTTTGCCAATCTCCCATTTTGAACTGAGAATGTAACTTAGAAATTTCATACATAAAGCTGTAACTATAAAATGTAGGTCACTGGGTCAAATTCTAGGTCAACTGATATCAAAGTTCAAATCTGTGGCAGTAGTTCAATTTTCAGTAATGTAGCTCTTACTACAAAATGTAGGCCACTGATTCAAAATCTAGGTCAACTGATATCTGAGGCAGTAGCTGTAGCTCTCAATACAAAAAGAAGGTCACTGGGTCAAAATCTAGGTCAACTGATATCAAAGTTCAAATCTGTGGTAGTAGTTCAATTTTCAATGCTGAAGCTGTCAATAGAAAAAGTAGGTCACTGGGTTAAATTCTAGGTCAACTGATATCAAAGTTCAAATTTGTGACAGTAGTTCAATACTTTAGTGTAGCTCTCAATACAAAAAGAAGGTCACTGGGTTAAAATCTAGGTTTAAATTCTGCATCTGAAACTATGCATACAGTATAGTACAAATGTCATAGCTTTGGCTTTGTTATTAATCTTTCATATCAGGCTCAGCTGACCTTAATTTTGACATAATGCCTGTTGTTCATCCATAGTTGTTGTGCATGTATGCTGTCTACACCTTGATGTATATTTGCTTTCAAGCTACGATAGAATTTGTTTGTTTTGAGTTTATATATACTGGACACCAGAATTAACCATATGGTCGAGCTTGTAGCATCCGGTGCATAGAAAAACCGGAAAGCACCGGATAGCACCGAAATACCGGAAAGCACTCAAATTTCTCATAAAAACATATGAAAGCTTTATTTTATCGGTTTGAAAGTGTTACCAATCGATTTATTAGATCAAAATCTTTCAGCCAAGTCATTTTTATAAATATATATTGATAATTATTACGAGTATTTAGGAAAATAGATATATCGATTGCTTTCCGGTCCTGCTAAGATACATGTACATTACCGAATAGCAATATTGTTTATCAAAGTTATACATGAAAACATTATTTTATTGGTTTGAAAGTGTTTTCAATCGATTTATTAGGTCAAAATCTTTCAGACAACATGTTTTTATAATTATAATATGATTATTATTACGATTATTTAAGAAAATAGATATATCGAGTGCTTTCCGGTCCTGCTAAGGTACAATGTACTTTACCGAATAGCAATATAGTTTATCAAACTAATACATGAAAACTTTATTTTTTTAGTTTGAAAGTGTTTTCAATCGATTTATTAGGTCAAAATCTTTCAGACAACATCTTTTTATAATTATAATATGATTATTATTACGATTATTTAGGAAAATACATATATCGAGTGCTTTCCGGTCCTGTGAAGTTACATATACTTTACCGAATAGCAATATTGTTTATCAAAGTAATACATGAAAACTTTATTTTATTGGTTTGAAAGTGTTACTAATCGATTTATTAGGTCAAAATCTTTCAGACAACATGTTTTTATAAATATATATATTGATAATTATTACGAGTATTTAAGAAAATAGATATATATCGAGTGCTTTCCGGTCCTGCTAAGATACATGTACATTACCGAATAGCAATATTGTTTTATCCAAGTAATTCATGAAAACTGTATTTTTTTAGTTCGAAAGTGTTTCAGTCTATTTATTAGGTGAAGATCTGTATATCATGACGTTTTTATAAATATTTAATGTTTAATTACTCGATTTTCAAAGTTGCTACAAATATTGATTGCTTTCCGGGTAATGCTAAAGTACATCTACTTTACCGAATAGCACTCGAATATTTATATAATTCACACTAATCCTTCATATTAATTATGTGAAAGTGTTAGAAATTGATTTATTAAGGTGAACTGATTTTATTTAAAAAAATTTATGATTAGTTACACGATTTTTCAATCTTGCTCATACCATATATCATTGTATCATATTCTAAATTTTATAGGTTGTGTGAAAGACAGAAAGATGATGTGTAAAAAGTACAAAGAAGTTCTTTCAAAGCATTGATCCCTATTTTTTATAATTATATTGTTATATTATGTAACATAAAGAAAAACTTATACATTTTCGTTCAGTTATATCTTTATTTTGACCATATTATGTGTACCGAAAAGCAATGTGGTCATCAGTGGAGGACAGTGGTTGTTGTATTGTTTATCACACGTGCTAATCCATGCTGATTAAAGACCTTGTATATTGTAGCACCTAAAGGTGATGATTTAATCAGGACCGACATGCACATCAAAGTTGCATTAATCCTACATTAGAATGTAGTGATGATATAATTCAGTGTTCAAATTGTAAGAACTGGTTGCATTGTATTTGTACAAATTTAAGTGACATTATGTCATAGTCGGATAGAAATTTAGTATATCTATGTAAGTGTTGTGCATTCCGTGCAATATAAATCTGGATTTCTTTCGTAATATATGTTGGGCCCTTAAAAGGGCCGTTTTATCAACAATACGTTTTATGTTTTTAAGCTACACAAAACTCTGCGTAGTTTGCACTGATATTTGTGCATGCCGTGTCAATATCTCACATACAAACACGTGGCTTAGTTCCTCGTCTAAATATCAATGCATAGATATATTATAGATGACCGCATTAGTAAGTTCGAGTGTGCCTTAAGATGTCATTTATGCTTATCAGCTATAGTCTAGCCCATACTCGAACTTATATACTACAACACAATATATTATGCATTGATATTTATCTATGACCGATGACATTGACATGACATCTGGAATTGCAAATTTTTAATACATACGTTTGCAAACATTTTTTCTTCTTCAAATTGCCTGAAATTTAGGATGAAAAAATATAGTGAACATAAATATTACAAATAAGTATCAATATCAATGTACATTATATTAAATTTTAAGTTTAAATGACATCTCAATATCATAATATCTCAATCAGTTTAAATACATCCAGCTATTGTGTAAATAAATTAACACCTGTATAAATGTGATAATTTAATCAGCGTGTGTCCGTTTAATTTAATCAGCGTGTGTCCGTGGAATAAACAAGGCGTGAAGTGTGCCTTGATTGATGTCAATATCATATTTATTTTTCAATTATGTATGTATATATGTTTGCTAAGTTCTGTTTTATATCTGTTTATTTTGTTCTTAGTAATTAGTTTCGTTTTTTTTTAGTTATTGCACTGTTTATTGTCAAAAATAAAAAAAAAACACTGAAACAATTATTGTTCTTCTCTTCATGCGATTTTGAATCCTCTTGTCCTCCACATAGCCTACAACAAATGAACATATATAAATATATTAGACAAGGTATATACATTTTAAATATTTACATACCATCGGTATGTCTGAGGTAAGTTTCGGTGATGTATTATTTTCTTCACAGGACCGGAAAGCAATAATAGAATGTGTAGGACCGGAAAGCACTCGATATATCTATTTTAATATCTATTTTAATCTATTTTATTCGTAATAATAATTATAAAAAAATAATGTCAGGGAGATGTTTTTCCTAATAAATCGATTGGTAACGTTTTCAATTCAATACAATGAAGGTTATACGTTTTGTATGGTAAATTCGAGTGCTATTCGGTAATGTAGATGTACTTAAACAGAACCGGAAAGCATTCTCTATTTTTTAACATTCATAAATCTTTTAAATAATCATAAAATTAAGAATAAAACATGAAATCATACTTGTATCATACCTAATAAATCGATTGGTAACATTTACAATACAATAAACAAAAGATCTTATGTGATTGTTTGAGAAATTATATTGCTATTCGGTAAAGTATATGTAACTTCACAGGACCGGAAAGCACTCGATATATGTATTTTCCTAAATAATCGTAATAACAATCATATTATAATTATAAAAAGATGTTGTCTGAAAGATTTTGACCTAATAAATCGATTGAAAACACTTTCAAACTAAAAAAATAAAGTTTTCATGTATTACTTTGATTAACTATATTGCTATTCGGTAAAGTACATGTACCTTAGCAGGACCGGAAAGCACTCGATATATCTATTTTCTTAAATAATCGTAATAATAATCATATTATAATTATAAAAACATGTTGTCTGAAAGAATTTGATATAATAAATCGATTGGTAACACTTTCAAACCAATAAAATATAAAAATAATGTTTTCATGTATAACTTTGACACAAAATATTGCTATTCGGTAATGTAGATGTAGCTTAGCAGGACCGGAAAGCAATCGATATATCTATTTTCCTAAATACTCGTAATAATTATCAATATATATTTACAAATATGACTTGTCTGAAAGATTTTGATCTAATAAATCGATTGGTAACACTTTCAAACCGATAAAATAAAGTTTTCATATGTTTTTATGAGAAATTTGAGTGCTTTCCGGTATTTCGGTGCTATCCGGTGCTTTCCGGTTTTTCTATGCACCCTGTAGCATCCTTGCCAGTCCACTATAGTAGTCTCATCGGGGACATCTTTTTCATGCTAAATCAACCAGGAGCCCGTTCTTCGTTCAGTGCAGGCGAAGGAGTCGACAATACTGCCAAGGCATCAGCTTTCTGACCAACAATAACAAAAATGACCATTGTTAACGCCAACCTCCAAAGTTAGTCATAACAGGTCAACCAATCATCTCTGGTTGATGACTTGACCGTGACCTGCCTTGTGCCTTCTCCGCGACATGCACGCCTCTAGAAGGATTTGGAGAAGGCTATGAAAGAACACATCATATATTTATTTTATATTGAGGGGCGAATCGTCACTGAATTGGCCCAATTTGGGGCGAAACGTCAGTGGGACGAATCGTAATTATTCAGTTTATGCTTGTTTATTAATATAAAATGTTCTTAATATGGACCTGTTCTTAATAATAAATCAATCAATCAAATGAACTTCACTTAAATTAAATAAGTTACCTTGTAATTAAATAAATATCTCAGCCGGTCAAGGTACTATGCTGGCAAGTAATTCAGAGTTGTCGTTCTTTGTGAAAAAATGAACATATATGCGAAATGGTCACTTAAAACACGAACATATATAAAAAGTATTTGACAAGAGAGAAATAGAATCCCAAATAGAAAGTCAAAACTGGCAAAATGAAAATTTTGCCGACTCGTTTTAATTTGTCCATGCCGGCTTAAGCGGTATTCAATATTTAAACATGTAATGGTAAAATAAATTTAGAAACATCCCAGATAGCAGATAGTTTTGGTCCACGACTGATTAACAACTTAAAACTTCTTATTGATGGCCCTCCGTTGGGCCACTAACACAATTTTAATCATCATTGTTTGTCCTTTGTTGGACAAACTATACAAATTTTATCATATTCATTGGCACTTTGTAGGGCCAACCACACAATCTTTATAGTCATCGCTGGTCCAACGTTGGACCAACCACACAATTTTAATCATAATCATTAATCCTGTATTGGGTCAGATGTAATCATCACAATTGGCCCAAGGTTTGACTAATCAAAAGAATTATGATATCTTGCCAATTTATGCCCTTTTGCCGTTTTGACACTTCATTCGTCCTAAAATTAATGAATGCACCATATCTTTATCTTCCTTATTTAGAGTCAACCCCCTGCTGAGGACCTAGACTTGACGCGCGTCAACTGACAAGAATGTTAGTAAAAGAGCTGAAATAAAAGAAATAAAAGTAATGGAAATGAGTATATTTTT